GGGGGGGGGGGGGGGGGGGGGGGAATGTTGAGTTTCTTTGATGAGAAGGCACAACGCCCTTTGTTTGCTTACAGACAGAATCTGCGTAGTGTTGACTCCCGACATCAGCAAAGGGGGTGAGGCATCGTGCGAAGCTGGTTTCTAAAATTAAGGGTTTTAAAAAGACAGTTTTAAGAACAATATGTGTAAAAGAAATGCCATTTTGTTGACGAAATGGCTGTGATGGAGGAGGAGGATGATGGAAAAACAGCAGATAACAGAGGAGGTGGGCCAAAAAAATGACAAGAGAGCGCGTGGGAGTTGAGGTTGCCAAATTGGGGCCCTTTGCCAGCGTCGTAGTTAGTATTTAACATTAACAACCCCACAGTGGGAGTGGTTGATGGGGCCGGGTGACAATCTGCTGTACCATTCCACTCACTGTGTAATTAACCCGTAGTCAATTAAGTGTTGATGATGGGCCACTGGCAGACGAGGGCTGTTAATGCTCTGTCAGGTCCCACTTTGCCTGTGCCAGCGCTTGATGGAAGGGAGTAGAAGCCTGTCTTTCAAGCCTCTGTTTTCCACAGGCCACAAGTCGCCACAACGGCTCTGGGTCTATTGTCGAATGAGCGTAGGAGATTCAACAGATCTGTCAGCAGGCGGGGAAGTTTTAAGGGTGTGCGTGACTACACTTTTAGGCGTTTATTATGTGAGGGGGCTGTGTTTCCATGTGCGTTTGTGTCAAAACTGCATCTTAAGTTTGCTGAGGAGTTGTCTGAAGCGCAGTTCGTGTTTGTGTGTGTGTTCCGCAGGCAGACGCTGTCATCGCTCATGTAACGGACGATGCTGGGGCCATCAAGAAGACCAATGTCAAACCTGTGAGTATGCACGCACACACGGACAGTTACCCCGGAGAGACATCAAAAAAAATCTAAAAATATGCGCTTTTTCTTCCGGACTGGAGTTCTGCACAGACAGAGGCTGATATCAATCATCTCATTCTAAGAATAACACGTTAATTAGTGAGTTTTCGAGATATTATTAGATGTTTTCTTTCTTACTTTAGACAGAGCCAGGATGACTGTTCCCCCGAAAATTGTCTCTTTGTTATTTCTTCAAATTGAAATCTAGGCTTATGAAATTCTGCTATTTAGTTTAAGGGTGATTTTGGTCTAAAAGCTCAATAGAATGGGATGAAAAAGATTTAAAAAAACAGCCCAGCCCAAACATATGACATCTGAGTCAACAGAGATTAAAGCAGATTATAGATTATTTTAAAGCAGAATGACAGTGTCCTCAATTTTCTCCCACCATTTAGTAAATACAGTGAGATGCACTGGCTTAAATTCAATAAATCAACTCATAAATGTGGAAAGCAAATGAATTTTCTTTAATGTTACGGCTTGTTATGCAGCAGCGGTGAGCGGAGTTCTCGGTGAATGTAACAAAAAAAGTGAACAATAGACAAAAGAGGAAGGAGCTGAGGGGGAAGAAAATGTTGGTCCTCTTGTTTAATTGCAGTTCTATACTCGTGTCGTCAGAACCTAGAGAGGAACTGGCCTGTTTTTCTCAGAATAACACAGACTAATAGACTACAGGGCCTTGTTTTCTCACTGCTGCATCATTATGTCCCCAACACAGTCGAGAGTGAGCACAGCAGTTTTAAATGCCTCGGCTTCGAGCTCCTGCTGACTCGCTGGCTGGTGTATCTCGTGCTCTACCGATAGATGTGTGGGAGGCTGTTCTTTAGCACAAGCATTGGAGCTACTTTGATGCAATAGGTGCGAGTCACATCCAAGTGTTTTGTACTCTACTGATAATACAGCTTCCTTTCAAACTGTTTTGCTAAACAAATGCAGGAAAAGGAGTTGATATTGCCCTGCATACCACAAGTTGGCATAGTAGCAGGTTTTCAGGGAATTATCAGCACAGTTGGAAGGTGCCTTTGGCCAGAAAACACTCATTGTATAAACACAGATATGATGAGTCGGTGGGGTCCATGAACTTTATTTTTTAAAACTTTATTCATCCAGGGAAAACCAATTGAGTTCACTCCAGCAGCGTCCTCACTTCCACTGCGTACCTGGGAGCTGCCGGTTGTCAGCTGCCGGCCACAAGGCCGAAGCTGGAGTGGGTTGGGGGATAAAAGGCTCGTTCAGGGGGCACCTCCAGAGCAGCTGTTGAAAGGGGAGACAGTACCCGGTGTTTTTTTTTTTACAGTCCGTCTGGGCAACCCCACTTGTCTGACCTTTAGCTTGTGAAGGCCCTCGTTTGTTTCTGCCTGCATTCCACATGTTTGCGTGCAGCTGTAGCACGGGAGGAAGGTCGAGGGGGGGGTGGTATTGTCCCTTTTTGTGTGAGTGAGAATGTGCGTGTCGCACCTTTTTTTTTTTTTAATTTCTGTCTTCTCACTTCCCGGGCAGTGACAAAGACGGTGTGTGCAGAGCAGTGTGACGGTCGCTGCTTCGGGCCTTACGTCAGCGACTGCTGCCATCGCGAGTGTGCCGGCGGCTGCTCGGGCCCCAAGGACACGGACTGCTTCGTACGTCGCCAACACACACACACACACACACACACACTGCTGCCCTGTTTATAACTCCTTTTCTTTCCTAGCTTTCATTCTCTCATTTCTGCCCCAAAGACCAAAAAGCACTAACCTCGTCCCCTTCGCCATCCCTCCGCGTCTTTTTGCGCAACATCTGTTTGTCATCCTCACCCGCCTGAAAATGATCCACTTTGTTTACCGGCTGATAAATTGTTTGTCATTTTACAGGGGCTGTAAAAGTCTTCCACAGCGGGCGCTCTTCAAACGAACAAATTGGTGATTCAGTGTTTCAATTAGTGGCTCCTTTTATCACCTCAAGTTCTTCCTATTTCGCAAACTCGTGCACGTCGCGCGGGCGCCCGCTGACAGAGACGATATTGTAGTTGTAATTCACAGCAAGGCTCATCCAATTCAATTACCGCCGTTTCAGCCTGTGGCCGCAGACGGCAAAACACTTAGGAGGTTTATGGGAAAACATTTCACCATTTACATCATGGCCGTGGATCAATGGCTCCAATTTCTCTCCCATTTGGCGTTGGAAGAGACGAGGGACGGCTGCGCGATCCGCATGTCGCAAACCGGCGTAAAAATAAAATGCCGCCGCAATACTCTTTCACTCCCGGTGACTTATGTGAGGAAATCACAACCCTTCCCCTCGCCTTACCTCGCCACGTTTCCCGCCATGCATCCCCCCCGTGGGAAGTCTGACCAGCATCCTCTGCCTTTCTGCTAACTGTGGTCGTGTGCTCCCTGCAGGCCTGCACCAATTTCAACGACAGCGGAGCATGTGTGACCCAGTGCCCTCAGCCGTTTGTGTACAACCCCACATCTTTTCAGTTGGAGCACAACCCCAAAGCCAAGTACACCTACGGAGCCTTTTGCGTCAAGAAATGCCCACGTAAGTCTGCTTCAAGTCATAAAGCACATCCATGCTGCAAGCAGATACACCACTACACTGCAAGAACACAGATGCTCATTATGATGCTCATAATTAGGTTTTATAGACTGCGTGCTGATGTCCATTGAAGAGGCATTTAGCCTCTTATCTATCCTGAAATAAGATCCCAGACAATTACTGCAAGTCATGATAAATTACTCAAACATAAATAAATTGCGCATCTCAATCAACTAGTTGCTCCGCCATCTGTTTCAGCTTCTGGCAGCTGAAAAGAAAGCAAATTGTAGTTCTTCCTCTCCCAGATATGGAGTCAGAGTGCTGCAGTAATTCAGCGAGCATTCATTTAAAAGTCAAGCTACGTCAATAGATTGTGCAAGTCCCACTGATCATCAAATGAGCATACACCAGTCGCATTTTTCCACAGCCGCTCCCTAGTACTAATTTGATTCATTACTTTTCCTGAGCAATGTAGCCCTTACACCATTAGTTTTGCTCATTATTCAAACATGATTAAAATACAATCAATTTCTCGCCATAAGACGGTTTAGAGGAGTCTAAAGGCTACACTTTTATGTCCACGACATGATACCACTTAGCATCACAGCGCCTCGACTATGCAACAACGGAAGTCCACTAACACTCTCTCTGTCTGTCGCTGTCAGATAATTTCGTGGTGGACCACAGCTCCTGTGTCAGAGCATGTCCGAGCAACAAGATGGAAGTGGAGGAGAACCGCATCAAAATGTGCATCCCCTGTACCGACATCTGTCCTAAAGGTACACCACGGGATGCCGGGTCAAAGATCTCCACTCCTTAGTTTGCCCTACGCAGCACAACAAAGTTGATCTGCAAAGGTTTCATTTTACACTTTGAGCGACTCTTGACTGTCATCATTGGTCCAATTGTGATAAAACTAAGAAGTGCCTACATCACTCGTAACTGGAGGCTGTTGCCTTGTCGTTTATCTTCGTGTAGAGACACGCTGACAACAGACAGATGTTTCAGTGCATAATGTAGAAGTTTTACTCGGGTTGATATTTCATTCTCCTGCTTCCCCCACTTCCTGGCCTACTGCACTGCGTTTACTGGATGCACTAGAGCTTATGCGGTTAAACCAGTTTAATCTAATAGCTTTATGTGATGATACTGGATCAACAGAGGCCCCAGGAATTACTTAAAACGCTTTATAGGAAATGTAATTCATATTTACGGGAGCCAGCTTATTTTTTAATATATATATATATATAATATTCTTCTATGTTGTTGATTTCAAGCATATACAGTTATGACTTAATACAACATATTCTTTATTTGTTAGCCATGTATTGATGCATTATTTCAAGGCATGAACGGCATTTAGCCCCCTTCTTATATTACCGCCGTGACTATGAACTGTAATACTCATTTCACATTGGAGGATGACAGAAAATGGCAAAAATGAAGGTCACATGCTCGCCGTGTTTAATTAACATGAAATGGTCCCGTAAGGAGAAACTGCCATTACCTGCTCAGTAATTACAACTCATTTTGCGCGAGTGTGAGCTAAATGCCTAAAACGCCTAATGTGAAATTAAACAGCATTACTTCAGTTCAATACGGAGGATTAGCCCCTTCGTCATATTGGTCCCACAAACTGATGTTCCCTTTCTCTTTGGAGGGAAGACGGTGGCGGCTTTCCTCCAGGCTCCACGTATGGAGCCTCCATTGATTGGCTAATCTCTTGATTACATCGTCACGCAGCATGGAGGGGGTTAATGAGGGATAGCCCAAGGAACTGTGGGAAATGATAACAAATTAACATTTCAGATATGGAATTGGCTGGTATAAATCACTATCAAAAACTGGTTACACCACTTAATGCAAGCCTTATTCATCATCCCCTCCGCCTCTGTCAGAAATACTTGGCTCACACCAAGACCGCAAGTGTAATTAATGCAGATGTAATGAATTCATTATAGGGAGGGATTGGCTGTGGATTGGCCCGTGCTTTCATCAAAAGAATTTCAATGCATGGAGAGGGGCCGTGGCCTTAATGCACCAAAGCAGGGGTATATTGTCATAAAAGGGAATCAACGTGACAAATAGCTAATAGGAGTTTCTCAAAATGAGGTCTCTCCGCTGTACAAGGGCACTTTGGGTATACACCACAGTAGGTGATTCATACCTAAGGCAGCTTAGTCATTTGAACGTGTGGTTGTGTGTGTTTGTCCCGTCAGTGTGCGATGGCATTGGGACGGGCAGCCTGCAGACGGCTCAAACTGTGGACGCCAGCAATATTGAGAAGTTTGTCAACTGCACCAAAATCAACGGCAACCTCATCTTCCTCATTACGGGCATTAAAGGGTAAGTGGCAGCTTGAAGAGTCACACACACACTTACTTTAATACTAGTTTTAGTCTAGTTTTAGTCATCAGATTATACAGAACATTTCATATTTGGAAAGCAGTTGTGATGAAGATAGTATTCACTATTCTGTGTGTCTCTGTGTTCTTCTTCAGGGACATGTACCATGGTATTGGACCTCTGGACCCTGAACGCCTCAACGTGTTCCGCACTGTGAAAGAGATCACAGGTGAGACTGCCTCACCGGAGTCGCCTTGGAAAAATTTAAAAAACAAAACAATATCATCACATTGTGTATGTGTGTGTGTGTGTGTGTGGGTGTAGGTGTGACGTCCTCTCCGAGGCAGTAAAAGAAAGCTTTAAGGAGAAAGTGTAAAGCAGATTTTTGTCAGTGAACTCTTAAAGGTGCTCTGGTGGATATTATGTGTGTCTAATAGTTGTACATGCTTACAGTAATGTGCTACTGTGTGTGTGTGTGTGTGTGTGCGCATGCTTGAGTGTGTATTTATTCATTAACTATTAGAGGCCTTCAGGGATGAGCAATACCTCGTATACAAAATCTTTTTGTCATATTAAACTGCGACTTGCAGTTGAGCCAAACAGCTAATGGAGTGAAACTGCATTTTCATAATGAAAACCCAAGCAATAAGAAAGAGCAATGGCCTCTCTATCCCGGCCATTTCCTGCTCCGTCCCGTTAATGTCATTTCCACAGATCCCGATTTGATGTAATCTGTCATTAAAGGCAAGTGCAAGTGGACAGATTGTGCAGAGTATAAAATCCATTCTTTTAATTAACATATATTGTTCTCTTCAAGCACTTTTCTCTTCTTTTTTTTTTTTTTGGACAAAGAATGGGTTCTTGCTTGAACTTCACAGAGGCGGTGCAACTCCACGATGAATGAATGAAGACAACAAAAAGGATTATTTTTCTATGTTTCCTATGTTCCTTCAGCAAACTTGTTCCCTTTTCCTCAGAAAAGATGGACTTGAGGATGACTTGATATAACTAATTGGCACATGTTCTTCTCTGTAGGTTTCTTCAACATCCAGTCTTGGCCCGAGAACATGACAGATCTTAGTGTTTTTTCGAGCCTGGCAACCATTGGAGGTAGATCTCTTTACAGGTACGTCCTAATGTCTCTGCCGGTTCTAGCATCCTAAAGCTGGACTGCACCGACAAGGATTCATTTAATCTAAGATTAGTTCTTTGTATGTTTAACTGTTTAAAGTTTGGTGCAACATGATTAAAAGATAAACCATGATTTAATTGGGTTTAAAAATGACTCCTTGTTGGTGCAACTCAGCCTGAGTGTTACAGCATTACATTGACATTCATACATAAATAGGATTCAAGATAAAAATTGTAGGCTGACCTCTCGGGCCTTCTTCTATGACGTCACCGTCTACATCTTTGACTTAATATGCAGCTTGCCTGCTCATCTTCCTCGCTGTCTCTTCCTCGCTGGTTCCTCTGTGTTTGGACGGCTATATACCGTTGGGGTTAATGAGCTGCCGGCCCATGTTGTTCTGCACAGAGAGGCTCTTTGAAGCGCCGCCGTCGCTTCGCAGCTTTGATTCGCCCTGTTTTGATAACGGGCTCTGTGTTCGCTTACAAGTGGCGGATCCGAGGGACGGTGCAGACGGAGTCACGAGGAGATCCCTCCTTGTAAACGCCAGTGATGAACCTGTAGCTCAGCAATGTTTCATTTCGAGCCGGAGATGCATCCTTCAGCCTCTTCCGCCTCTCTTTCTTTGTGCTGTATTTCTTTTTTTCTTTGTCGTTCCCCTGTGATGCTTTTCTCTACTTCTCCCATCATCTCTCTTTGTCTGCTTCCTTCTTCTGTCTGGCTGTCATCTTTCCGTTTCCTCCAGTTTTTTTATGAAACACACGCTCTTCTGCTCCCGTTCTGCTCATTCTTTGCTTACCCCCCTCTCTACCTCCACCTCTACGTCCTCCTGCTTTCTCAATCATCTCTTTAACCTCTTTGTCTCATTCTCCTGCAGTGGAAGTGGTATTTCGCTGTTGATCCTGAAGCAGCGCTGGATCTCCTCGCTTCAGTTCCAGGCGCTGGACGAGATCAGCGCGGGAAACGTCTACATCTTCAACAACAGCCGCCTGTGCTTCTACAACACCGTCAACTGGACGTCGCTCTTCAGGACCACGAGCCAGAAAGTCCTCATCCGCAACAACCGGGATCCGAAGGAATGCAGTGAGTAGTCCGTCTGCAAAAATCTGCACACTCGGTAATATTGCAGCATCTTAAGGTGTTTGGGTAAGTTGCTACTAGCCATGTAAACGATTGGTAGGAGAAAGTTATTGGTAACCAAGCACCTGTAAGTCCTCCTCTTCTCTCAGTATTTTTCTGACAGCCCTCTAATTATTTACAAACTTAGATTCGCCACATACAATCTCCAACCTCCAACCTTGCACGCAGACATGCCTGTTTCCAAGGCCACTGTGTCGCTCCTTTGCCGATGAAAGCCCTTATTCAGCTCCCTGTGAGGAAAGTGTTTAAATGGGTCCTGCACAGAGGTGGATTAGGCCCACTGCTTCCACGGGGATGTGGACACCTGATGGAATGATGAATGGTCCACATGGCTTCAGCTGAACATGGTGGAAACAGGAAGGAGGGAGGTCTAATAATCAGAGGAA